CAGTTGGCTGAGCTGAGTGTTTCTTTTCCAGTTCTTGAAAATAAGTCACACTTGTGTCTTTTTCATCTGAATGCTTTTTATTCAAATGATCTTGTAGCCTTTAGGGTTTCATCGCTTCATTCGAAAATGTTTTTCGACAAAGAAGGCACATAGGCGAAGATGGATTTGTGGGATTTTCAATAAATCCATATTTTATATATTCCGCGCTATACTGCCGTTTCTATTTTTTTTCTTCCGACATAATTTTATCTTCAAAAATGCCGAAGTAAAGAATCGAGTATTGGAAACTTGTTAATGACACCACTCACAGTATTCACCACCGCACGTACAGCACTTTACCTAGCTAGTCGCTAACTGAATTCACTTGTTTTCGTAATATCGTCGAATGACATTACTGGCTCTCGAAATCCATCTTGAATTCAGTCAGGTTGGAGCCTGGCTCCCTTACCCTTTGAACTGATGTTTGCCAGAAGGACAAACGGGTCATAACTGATATGGGTGTTAATGGTATGGCGGCATGAATGTCCTCAGACATCAGTACCGCCCTTCACGGTGTACCCCTGCCTGGCTGGGGTGAATCGGATGAAAACGTTGTTCATCTTTCATCGGAAGATATAGGGGCCTCATTCGACAGAGTGTCGGAGCCTTCTATATCGGGAGGGGTCGTCTATAGTATAATTCATAGCTTCCCCGACTAATGGGTTTTCATGAGTTTCTGCACCATCAAAAACTCTCTGATTTCTCGACTGGATGGACTGCCGAATGGAAGGCAGCTGCAAATCTCTGCGGATGGCTTCATTCCGCACGAACCAAGGAGCATTCACAATCATCCTTATTAGCTTTTTTTGTAACCTTTCCAGAATGGAAATGTTGGACGGAGCCGCTTGTCCCCAGACGCATAAAGCATACATAATGACAGACTTGAACATCGTATTGTAGATGGTAATTTTGTTTTTTAGACTCATTTTTAATTTTCTGTTTATCAGAGGGTACAGACGTGCTATTCGACCCTCGATCTTTGATTTGATGCACATTATGTGAGGGTTCCAAGTGAGCCTACGGTCTATTAGAAGGCCGTGGTACTTTACCCGCGCTTTCCAGTTAATCTCCCTTCCAGAGATTCTCACTTTTATGGCCGGAGAAGATTTCAGTCTTCCCATGGTTATTGCCTGAGTCTTATCCGGGTTCACTCGGATCTTCCAATCAAGGTACCAGCGCTCGAGGTCGTCCAATGCACGTTGCATATAGACGACGAGCTCCCGACCCATGGAAGATGAGAGGAGAGCCGTGTCATCGGCATAAAGAGATATCTTCACACGCTCGGGCCTCGGAAGGTCACTGGTGTAAAGTGAGTACAACGTCGGAGAGAGCACGGCCCCCTGCGGCACTCCAGCAAGGATCTCTCTGTTGTCAGACAGAGATCCCTCTACTCTAACCTGAAATGTCCTGTCTTTCAGGTAGGACCCGATCCACCGGACGAGGCCCCGAGGTAGGTCGAAAGCGTTCAATTTATGCAGAAGACGTTCGTGCCAAACACGATCGAAGGCCTTCGAGATGTCTAATAGGACAATATGTACTTTTTTATTCGTGTTCAACTCGCGGATGGTGTTTTCGACCAGCCTTAGAGCCTGTAACTCAGTGGAACCTGTAACTCAGTGGAGACTACATAGACTTTTCTGTTACGGTTTAACTCCGCGATGGTATTTTTGACCAGTCTCAGAGCCTGTAACTCAGTAGAATGTTCTGTCCTGAGGCCGAATTTTTCGTCAGGCAGAACAGTTCGGCCCTCAACTTCTTCGTTGAGCTTTTGAAGAACGACTCTTTCAGCCAACTTAGCCGCCGAAGAGAATAGACTTATCGGGTGATAGTTCTGTAGGAACAGCGGGTTCTGACCCTGTTTTGGGATCATGACGACGACCGCATGCTTCCACCTGTTGGGGAAGTGTCTGGGGGCTAACAAACTATTGAACATTACTGGCTGGATGGCGCGCCCGCTTTTAAATGAGGCAACGGGCGGGGAGAATGGAGACTAGAAACTTCTCGCTTCGCATTGGAGCTTACCGCCATCTATTGTACAGTTTGACAACTATCGGACAGGTAATAGTTACTTTCTAGTCCCCTAGATGGCGTTACACGGGGAAACGCGTAAAGGAACGTAAAGGAGCGGTAAAGTTTGTGTTAACATTTTTAAATTAGCCATCGCTCCCCTAAACCGCTTCAACGCCCCCCAATCTTCTCTGTGCCCTTCACTGCCCCCCTATAGGCCTCAAGCGCCCACAAGGGGAAGTTATCGCCCTCTTTGAGAAAGACTATACTAGGCAGACAACTGACGTCTTCCGGTCGAATAGGAAAATCACATATATGCATTCAACGAAGAGATCATCAATTCCAACATTTCTAAAGAAATGAACTTTAAACGTTCAAGCCAGTCTCCAATATACCTACACAGTAGGTTGAATGGACTGACGCCTATCAGAAAACAATTACTCCCCTGGCTAATAACACGAAGGGCGTTGAATTATATCCGACAGGCGTCAGTACAGAAATCTTCACAGAAAATTTCCTGCATATGCAATTGGCAATACAACTGAAAGAGTCGACAATCAGTTATGGAACGGGCACACTTGCAGACCGGTTTTGGGCTCATTAGCCACTCATCAGTGCAAGATAGTGGCCGTCATCGACCTAAAGTCAATGATATTCCATAATTGAAAATCGGAATTCTTTCAGAGTATTTCATTCCTCTTCCTAAGTTGGAGCGAACAACAAAATGTCTCTTCATCTAAAGGACGAGGTACTAACCAATTTTTTCAGTTGTATTGCCAATTGCATATGCAGGAAATTTTCTCTGAAGATTCCTGCACTGACGCCTGTCGGATATAATCAATCCAACGCCCTTCGTGGTATTACCAAGGGGAGTAGTTGTTTTCTGATAGGCGTCAGTCCATTCAACCCACTATGTACGTATATTTAAGACTGGCTTTCAAGCCAGTCACGTTAACGTTTAAAGTTCACTTCTTTAGATTTGTTTACTGACATTCTTCAAGCACAGCCCACTGACTAATAAGAAAAAAATTCCAACATTTTATATTGTTTGTCATGGAGAAGTCATCTGTGAATTGGTTTCATTTTCTTCCAAAAATTCATTATAGAACAAATTGTTTTTCTTCGATTATTGTCACTGATGTTGCTAATTATACCAAATAAAACGCCAAGTGTGATACATCATTGAATTATGCTTTTATCGCTTCATCAATATCTGTAATAAAAGAGACAAGCCGGTGTATTGGAAAAACAGGTTGATAGTGCCGTTTTGACATGAAACGTTTCATAAAAAATTGAGCATTATATCGTGAATACAATAAGAAAAATCCAGTTTTATAGTTTCCAAAATAAAAATGATATCCATAAAAAAACATAAACAGCATTTTTAGTTTTCCCTGTATAACACAAGAAGGGCTACAGTGCCTGTACATTTCCTTTAATCATTGTATTGTTCCCCACGATCATTTTTTATTTCGTGGTTTGAAGGCGTAGACTGCGAGGTCATTGGCATTTTACTATAAGTTTATTTATTATTTGTTTTCTTGTTTAAATTTTTGAGTACAGCCCTATTGCTTTCATTAATTTTATAATTTTTTTCCACATTTTCATTATGATCTTACAGAAATTCTTTCAGAGAATTGTGTATTTCAAATCGTTTCTAGTTTCATCATTTCGGACACAGTTTAGCAAGATATCTTTCATTATTAGCCATCGCCTACATTGTTGGCATATCGCTTGTCTTTCTCCTGAGAGCATGAATATATGTTTGTTCGGTTGGTATGACCTATTCTTAAGCGTGTAATAACAGTTTGTTCTCTTTGTTTCTGTGGAAAAGAATGCCTCCAGGGTGTAATTTTTTGCTTCACCTCTTTCAAATTTGTATCTGTTCTTTCCCAATCGTTTTGCCATAAACCCATAATTTGTTGTTCAAAAAAANTGATTTTGAATATTCACTTGAAAAGTTATCAAAGAAAAACATTTTTCATTTTGTAACTTCGAGGGCCCGTTACTTGGTAACGAAGGATTTTAGGAAAAAAGTTATATGAAGTACTGGTGATATTTTGAGCCCATCTATACATTACCGAGAGGAAAAGAGGAAGTCCAGGGACACCCTGTATAAGCTTCGTCCTATATTTCCGTTGATATTATCAAACTGGGGGTTTATAGCTATTGCAAAAAGGAGATCGCTTAGTGTGAAGCCTTGTGGAACTCCATTCTCTAGAACATATTTATTTGATAAAAGATCTTCATGTCGAGATGGAAATGTTCTGTGTTCCAGAAAATTTTGAATGAACTTGGGCATATTTCCCTTCAAGTTCCACCTATCTAGAATCAAGTCGCGAAAGATATGGCAATAACGTGGGATTTATTAGCAAAGCTGTTCTTAATTTTTTTTCTATTCAATCGCCTTCATATCCGTTACGGTTCAGATTATAGCAATGTTATCTCATGATGAAAAACCGGACTGTATATTATCTTCACCGAATAGGAGTTCTGTACAGGAATTGCATATCGCATATTTCTTTCTTGGCCTTCGCCAATTAGCGTTATGTTTTTATGTTCCATGGTTAGCAAACATCTACAGAATCCGTTCATCTCTTGAATCTACAAAATATTGCTGTTCTGACAAAATAGAGTCATGTCTGTTCAAAATGTTGAACAATGAAACCCTAATGGGATACTTTCTTGAATATTGTGAACATTTCCTGAAAATATACCACTTTCAATTTGAACATAAAATATCGTTCTTTTAATATAAATTATATTTTTATAATCAAAATCATCACAAAAAAATCAGTTGTGCCTATTTTTATGTTATTCTTTAATTACCAAAAGCGGTAGCTAAATCCGCATCTAAAAAATATCAGTGCTAGTCATTCACGTTGTTTTTTTTTTCAATATAAATGTTATTGTCGGATGAATAATCAAAACATAAATGCATTTCGAACTTTCAGATACTCGCTGCCCGAATTTCATCAGCAAAAAATAGAGCCGAAATGAGGACACAATCCAACGTCACCGACAATGCGGACGAGGATGAAAATATAGATTTTCTCAAAATTCCCCAAGAAGATTTCATTCCACCGGTAAACTCTCAAAGTGTGTCCAAAAATTGATGAAAGTGGTTTTCAAGCAGGGTGTTTTTGATTTGTAGTGTTGAAGAATATTAAAGGTTTTATGAATTTGTGGACTTTCATATATGACTCACCTTGATTTCAGATATCAGAAAATTGCGACTGAATTATTCAATTGTTTAGATTTAATTTCTAACTCACTGGTAGTTGGCGAACTATAGGCTTTGCAACGGATTGCCTATGGACCTTTCGTTGATGATTGATCTGTTGTTTGAGTCTATAAACTTCGTAAGAGTCAACTTCGTAAGAGAAGTTGACTGCTGTTTGATCAATTTGATCAAATATTTTATGATTTTCTGCTGAATTATGTACAAAAACGAAAAGAAAATACCTTTTTTTGGTATAAGATTTGCTTTTGTATTAGTTATAGTAATAAAACTCATTTTTGAATTTTTTATTAATTTCAATTATTTTTGATACATTCAAAAATACCACGCGATCAAGGTGGGGTTTTAACGTTCACACAGTGCTGATAAACGGTACTAAAGTGATAAACAACGATCAAGCGTTTTGTACAAATCTAGAATAACTTAAAATGTCGTCGAGAAAGTGTTAATAATATGTTAATGCATTTTGTTATATATGTGGGCAATTTATCAGAGTTCCAAATGTAAAATACGAATTGAATACATCTTACGTTCTCTGTGGAATCTACGAAACATAATTTGACTCTCCGGTACGGAACCAAGACAATACATGGGCTCTATATGTTGCTTGTAGCTATTGTAAAAGATGTTTGGAAGGTAATAAAATTTTAACTAAATGTTGAATTGAATAAAATAGACATATTAATTTTTATTTCCATATTTTAGGTTGGTATCGAGGTGAGAAAAGGTCTATGAAATTTGCAATACCAAGAATCTGGCGAGAACCAAAAGATCATGTTATCGACTGATACTTTTGCATTGTGAATCCGAGCAAAAGACGTAGAGGTAAAAATGCAAAACCTCTCGAATATCCATATCTTGAATCTTCTTCTGCTCCAATCGCACACGATCTGACACGACCAGTTCCTGAGCCACCGAAAAAATTATCACAGAAAAGTAGCTCATCTCTTAGTTCTCATAAAAATAATTTCGATAAAGAGTTTTTATCGACACCAGAACAACCAAAATATCATTTCATCACCACAGAATATTTTAATGATTCGATTAGAGATTTAAATTTGTCAAAACAAGAAGCAGAGCTTTTAGGCTTTCGCTTAAAACAGTGGAATTTGCTGGATGATGTTGATATCACGGATTAGCGGACAAGGCATGAAACATTCTCAACATTTTTGACAAAATAAATTTGACTCTGTTTTTGCAATGACATAAAAGATATGTTTGAAGAAATTGGCATACTTTGTGTTCCCAGCGAATGGTGTTTATTTATTGACAGCTCCACAAAAAGCTCAATAACAGTTTTATTACACAACGGAAATGAATTCCCATGTCTTCCAATTGCTCACTCAGTACATCTTAAAGAAAATTATGAAAGTGCTAAAATTTTGCTAGAATCTATAAAGTATCGTGAGTATAACTAGCAAATGATTGGATATTTTAAAATGGTAAGATTTTTTATGGGACTTCAAAGCGGATATACAAAGTATCCGTGTTATTTGTGCTTATGGGATACCAAAGCGGTTGCTGAGCATTATACTCAACGGTCATGGCCTGTAAGAACAGAACTTTGTGTCGGGAAAGAAAACGTGAAATTTGAGCCAATTGTTGAAGCGGAAAAAATGTTAATGCTACCTCTGCACATTGAGTTAGGGTTGATGAAACAATCTGTTGTTGAAAAACTCAGAAGTTCCGATTTCATCAGAAGCAAAGGTTAAAGCTGGGATTTTTGTTCCCAACGCTGCTGAATCGTACTCAAAAAGCGAGTTAGAACAGTTTCAAAGCAGTCGCTTCTGGATTTCTAGTTGAGAATATGCTAAACAATTTTGAGGCCATGGGCTGCAGGATATCATTAAAAGTACATATGCTGCATGTTCATTTAGATAAATTCAAAAACAACATGGAATCGTATTCAGAAGAGCAAGGAGAGCATTTTCACCAGGACATTATGAACTTCGAACAACGTTATCAAGGCCAATACAATACAATGAAAACTATTTTGTGAGTTATTTTGATAGTAAAACTCAATAAAAATGATAAAAATGTTTATTTGGATGTTTTTATTCTCAATTAAAAATCAAAACCACAGTTTTTGAAATATATCATTAAAACAGTTTGCTAAATAAAAAAGCAAACTTTTTCGTGCAGTATATTTTTTGTTATCGTCTAATTACGACCTAAATAATTGAATTGAATGCTTTAAAGTTGAAGTCAAATTTTATGCTAATTCGTGTATTAATTGAGTTACTGTAATACTTTGAAGTTAAGAAACAGTTGCAATTAGCAACGGTATATATAATACGATCGACAGGTATGATTGGAACTCCTAACAAGTTGGCATTAGTTGATGATTTTGCATATTGCATGTTACTAGTGACCAAACATTACAGTTTTCCTAGAAGTTTTTAATGAATATTGCCTTAGAAAATCTACTATAACCACGTCTTATTCAATCTACGGAACAGAATAGTTCGAATTTTGCATCCATGATTTGCATATTGCTGAATGGTACTGGATCAGGAACATCTAGTTGGCTGTTTGCAGTCAAAGTTGTAGAAAAAGAAATAGAGAAACTTTCCATTGCTATCTCGAAACATTTTCGAATGCAAATATTTTGCTTTTTGGAACCCTATCTCATTATAGCAACGGTAGCCCGTATTTAGGGGGGAAACTAGGGTGGTTCGATATAACGGGAGGCTCTTCAACATATCGCCACCAGTTCAACTGAATGGCAAAGGTTGAATTTGAAAATTATAATATGATATACAAAATATATTCCAGCAGTTTGATGAAAATATGAGCAAAGTAGAAAGCGGCCCACTATGCGTTTATGAACAATCTTGAATTGAAACTCACTTTCGATTCATATGAAAATATGAATTTCGATTGAAACTGCTCTTTTCTTGGAAACTAATAGGTAATTAGTAGCTGTTGAAATAAGTTGCTTGGTAGAACTTCTTTCTCTAGATGGCACTTGGTATGAACATTTTCAACCAATTTCATGGTGCAAGGTTAGTAGCCAGAGTCGATACCAGCTATTTTCGGCACAATCCAGTTTGACTGTGACACGCCCATTTCCAATGAAAATAAATAAGGCAATACATTTTTCCTGTACATGGTTTTTAAGCTGATATTTTTGAACTTTGTTTGGGTTGAATGATGGCTTCTAGCCAATGTATATTAAATACGGTTATAACTGTTGTTACGTAATTTATCAGCTTTGAACTGTACAAAAAAAAACTATACCAAATGGTTACGTAAACAAGGTGAAGTAAAGGGTTATGCTCACAGCTAGCCTGAACAGGGAGAGAGGGGTGAGTTCCTGAAATACTAGGTGTCACTTTAACGGGTGCCAATAGATTCAAATATTTAACCCTGACTCAAAATGAAGAAATTAGAGAAATTGAATCTATAAGATCTACTCTAAAAAGTAACCAATTGATAATGAACTTTGGCAGGTAACAATTAGAAAGACTTCGGTATCAATTTAATAGAAATATATTATATACTGGCTTAGGTATCTATACATATATAATGAATAAAACAAGATTTAAAATGGTTGGGGGGGTTTTGTGCACTTAGAAAACTCTCATGAGAGGGAAGAAGAGGAGTGGATGAGATCTGTATTGTACCTAGGTCTTCGTCCAGTCCCCTAAAGACATTACGCAAAACTTACGTAACTAATACAAATGACAGAAAACATTTAAACAATATTCGCTAAGAGTAATTCCCCGTTGATGATTACTAAAGGTAGATATTGGCCCGTGGAAGTTACGGAAAGCAAAATAAATGATCAAGAACAAATTCCGCTATGCGGTACTTAGCCAGATTTCTGGATTGTACGGAGTACTGCACTTCTTGGAACGGGCGTTCACTTATATCCTTACGAGGCCACCATGAATATAACGGTATTGCGACCAGCGAATATATTCTCTTCCGAGTAATTTTTATTTCCTCGAGATGATTTCAATATATGGGGTTAAACGCCTCCGATTACCGATTCCCTAATAATCTTGAGACGTTGACTTCCTTTTCCACCAAAAAAAAGGACTGATATATCTAAAATCCTCCCTAGAGACAAATCGACAGTTGATAATCCAATCCGACGAATTATTCAACCAAATATCACTGTCGAAAGGAACACTGATCAATTAAAACCGCCTAAAGCGTAAACTATGCAATCGACAGAATTCAGCGTTCAAGACATTCGAGTCATTTTCTGAATAAAAAAAAACTCTCCAATCCCTTTTTTGTTTCCGATAGTTCCTATCGCTACAAACAAAAGGTTTCCTCATTTCATCGATGATGTGATATGAAAGATAATAAATATGTGATATGAAAGATAATTGAAATGTATTCCTGGTTGCCTACCTTTTAGGAGTTTTTATAAAATTTTACGGATAACGTAACACTGTTTCTACATGATAAAGGCAATAACTAAGCCACTATAGTTGATTATTTACCTACCAATAGCCTCATTACAAATATATTCAGGAATTCAAAATATATGCATATCGAGGGACACAATACAGGCAAGAGAGTGTTAGAGACGAAATCATCGTTTTAATCATCATTGAAGAATTTTGACAGTTTTACATGACTTAATATTTTTCATATACCACTGTCCCGCATTACTTGCATTTTGATTTTTCAGGACATCAAGTAACTTGGATAGTTTCTCATGAACCGCATTCGAGAAAACTTTATTTTTCTCAAACTCATCCCCTACTATGAATTCCACGTCGCTCATGGGCTTAACGAATATGAATCCCTCTCCAGTGACCCAGCTTTTGGTCCATTTTTCAAGATAATTCATTTCCAAGTTATTAACATTACTGTTTCCATAATAACGGAATGAATCTTAGAAAATTCAAGAAGAACGGATCCTAATAGTCGTGATCCTGGTCCACATAACTCCTTATAGCAGTACAGATCGTG